GAGTTGAGAGAGCTAGGAGCCGAGGTGGAGCTGCTGGATCTACGGGCCGAGGCAGAGTCCGGGCCTCGGAGGTTGGAGGCGGAGGTGAGGGATTCTCCAGCCAAGGCGACGCTGGAGGATGGCAGACCCACGGAGCTCGCACCGTATTGATGGTGGGCTGAGGGCGAGCAGAGGGGCTGCCAGACGACAGCGGAAGAGGCAGGAGTAGGTGGGAGGGCGGGCATTTGTGAGCCTCCGGGCTTTCAGGGCTAAACTCTGGATCGGGAGGCCCCTCTAGGCTGAACATGGGAACAGGATGTGTGAAAAAAAATCTAGAAAACATTTATTTTTGACCAAAATACCACAGTTACTATAAATACTGTTACTACTATTGATATTTTTAAAATGTAGTATGGTATTTCAGGCTAAACAGGGTAAAAATACTTTACTGCCAATTTAATTTATTTTTTATATAGGGGTAGTGCACATAGGCGGAAACTACATAATGAAAGAGCATTTCTGTTGGAAGAATTAAAAGAAATAGGGATAGAAAATATTACACTTAAAACTTTGTTGAATAATGGCTTGAATCATTATAAAATATATAATGCTTTAATGACATACTTAAAAAAAAGTAGATTTGTTTAAAAGGATTTAGAAGGGTTTATTTTTTATTTATTATTATTTTTTTTTAATTTTTTTATTTAGTTCTTCCTATTCCATCAATGGTCCACACTCCAGCCCAGTAGGTGGCGGGAATGCACCTATCTTTTGTTTGCCAACCGCCATAAAACTCCAAAAGAAGAAGAAGAAGAAGGCGGAAACTACGGATCCCGGCCGCGTTTTTATTTGGCTGACACGTGATTTGCTGCAGCGCTTGTAGAGAGTCGATGGTTTGTAGATCTGCGCTTTGCGTCACAGAAACGCACTCATTCAAACGCACGCGTCGCGATCATCACAACAGCGTGACACCCGGAAGGTTCAAACGCGCGGCCAGCAGCTCAGCATGAATCGCTTCAAGACGTCCAAATATAAGAACACCACTCCCAAAATCCCCAAGAAAGATGTGAGTACCGCCGTGGCGAGGGGGCGCGTGCGATGCGATGCGATTGAGTGTCTCGTGTTTTGGGCTCCGAGCTGAAGGAGTGGTGCAGATGCACTGATCAGCTCCAACTTCCTCCATCCTCAACTAAACATATGTGAAGCTTCATGCACTTTAATATGCACGATTAGATGCATATGAATGTATGAGATATGAGATATGGGATGATGCGACTGAACCAGCCATGCCATTAATTATGAATTTATCAGTCTTTTGCATGCCAAAGTCAAATAGAAGCAGAAAATCGTGCTATAGGGTTCGCTCTGATCTGCTCCGTATTTGATTGGAAAAAGGTAAACAAAACGGCATAAATGCATAGAATAAATTCACATGACAAACAAATAGGCCGTTAGGAAAATGTGGGAGAAATAAAAAAAAAAAATGTTAAACGTTGTAACCTTTATGTAATTTGGTGCATTTAGGACCAAAGTCCTCAATATGAAATAATTAAATCAGTTAATAATTACTTAAACCAAAAGTTAAATATTCTAATTTATTTTATGAATAATTAAAATGAGATCAGTAAATAATTAAATTCATCAATTTGTTTTGCAAGACTGTATGAAAGCACATAGAGTACACTTTTTAAAATATCAACACATATTTAAAAAGACACTGCATTTGCAACACTGTAAAATGATCAACACTGTAAAAAATACACCTACTTCAACTAAAAAACTTGAGATAGCTTATAATTTTTAGTATAAAAGTCCAATTGCCTGCACAAGTCATTTGAACCTAAACTATATTAAAATGATTATAAAAATGATAGAACAATATATGCTTCCAAACCTTGATTTCCAATAACTTTTTAAAAATATTTATTTTAATTAAAATTTTTGTAATTTTTCTTACGTGCTTTTGTCATTTTTACTTTTTACAAATATTTATATTTAGCCTTAATTTGTATTATTTCAAGTTTTAATAATATTGTTTTTAATACTTATTTCACTTTAATTTGTATTTATTTTAGTTTAAGTTTTAGTAATTTTATCTGCTTTTGTCATTTTATTTTTAAAATAATATTTAGCAATAATTCATATTTATTTTTTACAATAAATCAACATTCCAAGACAAGTTGGTGGATTTTAAAGGTGCTGTATGTAAGTTTTTGACTCTACTAAAGCATAAAAATACCAAAATATGTTTGCAGATATTTAAGAAACATGCTAAGTTAGCATACTTGGTTATCTGAAAAACAATGCTACAGTCAAGTTATTCTCCTTTGAAAATGTGCGTTCCGGCCGGAATGTCGGTCTCTGTTTTGGTTTGTGAAACCCGCCCATTGCCAGTTTACCCAATTGTATTTCGGCACCCCGGGTTGCCAGTTGGCGGAAAACA